TAAAAGATTATTCCACACAATATTAATATTGTTGATTAAATAATTATGAGTTTACATCTCACCATTTATATTCTATTTAATAAAAATTAAGTATAAAATAATATTAATATATGTAATTTTAAGCTTAAAAATTCATTTAACCGTTTAATGTTTTTTTTTTAGATTAATGTGGGTGTCCGGGCCAGCTTGCGCGCATCATGACTAATCCCACGGGTCCTGAAGTTAACGATCATGTAAGCCTTCAATGGCCATCATATGAGGACTTGAACCTGAAATTAGAGAGAGAGAGCAAACCTCTTGGGATGATGGTTAACCGTTTAATGTTTTTCAATTTAGATGGTTATAGTCCTGATCCTGTCAAGGCGTGTAGTGGTGGGTATCACTAGCTAGCCAAGCAAGAGGATGATTGATTAACCGACATAGCGGTAATGATGGTAGATAGCAGTAGCAGCACGACATAACATTTCTTATTGCCTGAGTTAATTACAAGTTCTTTATACCTTCTCTGTGCACAACATTCCAGCCTTTTTTAGGGCTTGAACTTAGCATGGATCCACGGCTGCTGGATCACCGAGCTATATATAGTTGACCGTATTAATTAGTGGGATGTTAAGGGACAAAAATCCTGCCGTCAATTACCTAAATAGATGCATTTATTCAGTAGGAATGGGTGGCATTACAATAATAATTACTTCGTGTCGCTATCATAACCTGCAAGCCGCATTTACACCCCAGAACAAGATGCCATTGTTCTTATTCAACGTTTTTCTCAGCAATTAAAGGTGGGTTTTTTTCTTAATTAGTTTCAAAATCAATTAATTAAATTATAACATCTTCTTTATTTTCACTTCATGCTAGTAACTCTTTTTTCTAAAAAAAATTAAATTAAATTAAATTAAATTAAAAACTAGAGTACTCTCCACAAGCAAGGAACTAGCGAGAAAGATGATCTTGTTTGGGTTGGCCTCCAATGGGGTGCTCTCCAGGTGATGCGACTGTTTATGGCAGAAATGGGTCTTCCTCGTCATGTACTGTGGATTACATCAACAATGCAGCTCAACTTCTTAACACCAGGCTCGTATCCCTCACCAGTGTTGACCTCAACAATAACTCGAGAGGGATGCAAGATTTATCTATGTCAACATGCATGCATGGGACACATACATATATACATACCTATATATATATATATACACACACAACTTCAACTTCAACTTCAACCAAACGCAGTTTGATGAACGTCAGCATGAGTTAAAATTTGATTTCTGACATGATTGGATTTTAAAATGAATTTCAGGTTTTAGGGTCGCAAATGCTCCATGCATGCTGTGAAGTCGATCGCCTTGAGGGATGGGATGGCAACATGCGTGCACTCCAGCACGAGTTCCTTGTAAGAACAGAAGCGAGCACTTGTGGTGGGAGGAGTGCACCCTGGTGATCTGTACTGATATCAGGAACCAGAGCATACAATATTGCCCATCACCAGACGACACTTGCCCAGCCGATGATATTCAACACTTTAATATTCAACTCTAAATTAAGAGTTTTCGCAGTATTGCAGTGAAGTACAGTTAAAAATAAGCACATTCTAGGTAAATCAAGGCTTTGTACGTATGCCTTTTGGTTTAGCCTACTACAATAACTGATTGATACTTGATTTATGTGAATAAGTATATATGAAATGTTGTTAAGTTAATAAACACAGTTTTTAATCCTCTATTACTCCGTAAGAAAACATTGACTCCACATTTTAAACTTTAGATCTTAAAAGCCCCCCGCTGTTTTCGTGCTGTGAAAATGTGAGGCCCATGATGCCCTCTTTAAACTGCCGTCCAAGCAGAGAATTGCAAGACTTAATTTTTTATTTTTTATTTTTAAAAAAAGATCATCGCATGAAAACACGAACCACTCTAATGATCTATGTGCCTTTTACTCTAGTGGGTGGCTCGAACCCGACTAAAATTTATATCCAATCCGATCTAACCTCGTGTGGGGCAGATCTGACTACCACTTGGTACTTGGGTTATAACAAAACACCTGATTCCTTATGGCAGCCTCAATACCACATGGCCCTGGGTTAGCCCCAGCACCATATGGCACAAAGAGAGCCCAAGTACCCGGTTTTTACTTCTCAGTGTTATAATAATATTATTACTTGTAATAAAAATAATATCTATACCATAATTTATAATATTTTTAGTATTTATGTTATCAATTATAAATAAAATAATAATATTTTTAACACAAATACTATTCAATACAATAAAATAATAATATTTATAACACCAATTATACTTTTTTACTATTAATACTTTTAATTATAATAAAAAATAAAATATATATACCACAATTGATATTATTTTTAAAGTAAATACTTTTAATTATTATAAAATTAAAATATGTAAAATCCTTCATCAAAATCCAATAACAATGGTCATGCAAGATCTATTGAGCTATAATTATGATGTTAAACCCAGAACAATCGGGTCCTGCCTCAAACTCAAGAAAATCAGGTTCTTTGTCGTGACTAAGATGTATTAGCTTACCATAAGCCAACTCCATCACCATATGATGCCTGGGTTTATGGCAGCTAACACTTGAATCATGGCAACAAGGCTCGATTGGCTATGGCAGTCTCAACGTCATGTGATGTAAAGGCAACCTAAGCTCTAGGTTTCAACTTCTCATTGTTATTGTAAAATTATTACTTGTAATAAAAATACTAATATTTATACCACAATTGATAATATACTTCAATGTTTATATTATTGATTGTAAATAAAATAATAATATTTATAGAACGAATAATGTTATTTTTTGAATATTTTAATTTTTAATAAAATAATAATATTCTCAACACAAATATTATTCACTGTAGTAAAAGTGGATCTGTGTCACCATGAACAAAACCGTGATAAGACTCTAAGCGGATAATATATAGTAGGTTGGGCTAGGCAATTACAAAAATAATAATATCCATAACACCGATTATACATTTTTAAGAGTAATACTTTTAATTATAAGAAAAATTAAAATATTTATAATACAAATTATACTATTTTTACTATTAATATCTTTAATTATAATAGAAATTAAAACATGTAAAATCTTCCATCACGACCTTGTACAAATAGGGCATGCAAGACTCATTGAGTTTGGGTTATGATGTCGAACCTCGGACAATCAAGTTCTGCCTTCAACCCATGATAATTGGGTCTTTGCCACGACCCGAGTGTATTAGCTCACCATATAGCGCCTGGGTCTATATGCGAGGTTGGTGCGTTTTGATTCACCCAATCATTCCTAAGCACCACCTGACGCTCGATTCTAATTGTCAGGGAATGATCGTCCTATCGCCACGTGGTGCTAGGGCAGACTAAGCGCTAGGTGTTTGCTTCTCGTTATTATTATAACATTATTACTTATAATAAAAAATAATATTATTTGTGTTATAATTATAATTATTTTTATATTAATTAAAAATATCAATAATAAAAATATTATTATTTATATTATAATTATTTTTATTTTTATTACAATTAAAAGTCAATGTATCTGGACATGTTTAAACTTGTTCTTAAATTGGGTTTGACCATGTCCACGCCCACACAAAAGTTGGATCTGAACGTGTCTATACCCAATTTTAAATTGAATGTTTTATCATAAAATATTATAAATTATTTTATTTAGTTTTTAAATTCTAATCTCTAATACAATTTTTTTTCTATTATAAAATATCAATACTATCATATTTTTAATTTTTATTACCTATATAGTATTGTTTTATTATTATATTGCGATCAAACACATTTGTTAACAGCGCAAACAGGCCATCATATATACACTAAATGGTAATGATGTAAACTATGACAAATTAAATTATACGTGTCGCAGTCATCTTGGCTTTTGACCAGGGATGATTTTGTCCATTCATCTACGCCATGAAATGGCCGGAAGTTTCCACCTTATCTTTACTTTGTCGGGTGCCACTAAAGTTTCGTCGCATTCGGTTAATGCACGCTGCTGTAGCAATCAACCCCTCCCAAAATTTCAACATTTCATAAATCACAAAAAAAAATAAAATTATCGCCTCACTCATTTACCGACCAACCTTTTTCGGTGCTCAACCGTTGAATTTTTGCATGTAAAGACAAACTCTTTTCAGACTTATTTAATCGATTATCTCTGCATTTTTTCTTCATGGCATTCTATTTGCCATTGCTAAAAAATTACTTCAATGATCTTTTTTTAAATGTTCGAATAGGATCATAAAAATAAATTCATATAATTTTTTATAACACATCCTCGGATAAAAACCTTGTAGAAACTCACAACCAATTTACATTTATTTTTTTAATCTAATTAAAAATAATAAAATGATGAGATTTAAATTTATAATTACTTTGCCAACAAAACATTAATATCACAAAGAAAAACATTTCAATCAAATAACTTCATGGATAATTTTGTATTACTCTAACATACCTAAGAGTGGAAATTTACCTATTCATTTTATTAAGTATTGATAATTATTCATTGAATATTTTAAAGTTTCTCATTTCAAAATTAACCACCAATTTTAAATTGCAAGAAGCAGTCACCCACCACTAGAGGTCTCGAAGGCAAAAAATTATTTTGGTTTACAATATTTTGTAAAACTAATGAGATTTATTGGTTTTTTCTTTCATATATATTTTACAGTCGTCAACTCTCAAGAATAGAGACTTAAGTTCGTGCCTTCAAGTTAAAAACCACCCAATAATAAAATTACCATTATTTTCACTCATCGAAAAAGACTATTATCTTTCTGATTTTTATTTTTTAAAACCCCTGTGATGCGATCTCCTCTCTGAGACACTTTCTAATAAATAAATAAAATGAAACAAAACAAAAGGTAAGAATTATTATAGAGCCGCCTCCATTCCGGGCGCACGTCCACGCTGACATGGCAAGTTACTAAATAGGCAGAACTATATTATTACGGTACTGCAAAAGCAGCAGATCATTACCTGCCTTCCCTTACGCTGACATGGCCCCTTTCCTCTCCCTCCCTCCGTAAAATATCAATCAATGAAATCGACCTTCCTCCGTTTCCCCCGTCTGTCACTTGCATCTGCGAAATTAATTAATTGTAATTTCTAATTCGATTGAAACGTTAGGGTTTTATTCGATTCCTAGATTCTCCACACTCCTCTGTATAGAGTTTCAGCTATCTGTTTCTCTGAGAGAAAATGCCGTCGGTGTACGGAGCTCGATTGACTACATTTGAAGATTCTGAGAAGGAGAGCGAGTATGGATACGTTCGCAAGGTGGACTCCTTTCTTTTCTTTTCCTTTTTTCTCAATTAATTATTAATCTCAAGTAATTACATAGATCGAATTTTTGTTCTGGTTTTGATGGAACTTATCTGATGACCTGTTTCTGTTGATTTACTGCGATCAGATCGAGTTTTTGGATTTATGTAAAATAGATTTCGTAGTTGAATTTCGAGCCGCTAGATCTGTTTTTTAAAGGTTGTGATCCGTTGAGATACGTAAACTCGAGTGATCATTGATTTTCTAGAGATCTTGTTAGCCTAGTTGATGGTGTTAATTATAATGGTAGGGGTTTGAGGAACTGTGAAGTGGTTGTTAGCGTTTCAATTCTGTGTGCTTTTATGCTTTTGTAGCTTGGATTTAGCTCGATAAATATTGAACTAACTGATGTTTGTTTCTTGTTATTGCGTGAACTCGATGGAAAATGTTTATGCAGATAAAAAAATGTATAAAAATAAGATCTGATTTGTTCGGTTCGTATTTGTGCGTTGGTTGGCTCATGTGCACAGATTAAGATTTAATTGCTATATTTCAAGGACGTGAGCAACTGATTGTGATGCATGATTGTTAGTTCAACTTCGGTCTTTCGTGATTTCAATCTAAATTTGATGCTGTTTTCTAGGCTCAACACATTTTTCCTGGTTTTGTCTGACTAACTTGATGTGGTTTTGACAGGTATCAGGGCCAGTTGTGGTTGCTGATGGCATGGCTGGTGCAGCTATGTATGAGCTGGTCCGTGTTGGGCATGACAATCTAATTGGTGAAATTATTCGTTTGGAAGGACATTCTGCCACAATCCAAGGTTATTTACTAATGCGAGTTCTTGATAGTTGGAATACTGTATTTCATGCGTAATCCTTCTCATTTTTTGAGCGTTTTCATCATTTAATATTGTGTATCTGCTCTGCTTGCTCCTGGATGCCTATTTTTAAGAAGGAAAGAAATATTTTAAAAGGAAAGAGACATTTTTCTTTGTATTTACCGAGGTGCCTGGAATGGAAATGAATGTTTTTTTGTTCTCTCTGTTGTCAGTGTACGAGGAAACTGCTGGTCTGATGGTGAACGACCCTGTTCTTCGGACACACAAGGTGATCTCACTTTCTTGTATTGTCATGTTTTTGTCTGGATGGTATTGTGACTACATCAGCTCCTTAATTGCATGTTGATCTTACAGCCTCTATCTGTGGAGCTTGGACCGGGAATATTGGGGAATATTTTTGATGGAATTCAGGTTTGACAGTGCTTGCCTTATTGTCAAATTCTGATTTAGTAACTAGAATTACATTTTGTTTTCTGTTAATCAGAAACCTTTTTCAAAAGCCTTCTAAGTTCATTCTTTGCTCTCGCTTTATCAAAAAGAAAGAAACAAAGTTTGTGCTTTGGTTTCTCTCTTGAAATTTATAGTGGTTAACCATTCACCTACGTTTTCTCATCAAAATAGAGGCCTCTGAAAACCATTGCAAGAATATCTGGTGATGTCTATATTCCTCGTGGTGTCTCCGTTCCAGCACTTGACAAAGACACACTCTGGGAATTTCAGCCTAAAAAAATAGGTGACTGCTGGAACTTTGTTGACAAATGACAATAATTGTTCCTTCAATTTCTTATGTAGAATTCCACTAACTTCAGTTATGCTTAACATTGGCAGGTGAGGGAGATCTTGTGACTGGTGGAGACTTGTATGCTGTAAGTTCTTTATTTGAATCTTTTGTTTATTGAACTCTTTTAGAAATGTGTGGTTTGGACATCTTTATTTCTTTATTATTTACTTATTTTTGCATTATGTTTAACATAGGATTTTGTGTGGATATTTTCCAATGCAGACTGTATTTGAGAACACTCTAATGCAGCATCATGTTGCGCTCCCTCCTGATGCCATGGGAAAAATCACTTTCATTGCACCTCCTGGTCAATATTCATTGAAGGTTTGTCTCTTTGTCTTCTTTGCCTCATGAGAATGATAATTACACAAGAACACATCTGCTTTCCCATATTTTTCCTTGTATGATACATATCATATAGTGCAGTGCTTGCATGTTACATAACCCTTTGACATGGAGTTTCTGAATGATGAATTTGGGAAACATAAACTGCATGCAAATGGCATTTGGATCATTCTCTAGTCTCCTGGGTTATAGTTACCATTCAGTTGAGATTTATATTTATGTGAATTTTCTATGACTTCTAAACTGCACATTGACATTTCATACATGGATCTGTACACTGACTTCTGCTTTTGTAGGACACTGTGCTAGAGCTTGAGTTCCAGGGTGTCAAAAAGCAATTTACCATGCTTCAGGTTTGTAAATTTTGTAAATTGTAGCCAAACTCTAGATGAATTGAAATGCCTGCATCCTGATCTAGAAATTTTTTCAAATCCCACCGTTCTTCTGCATGCAGACTTGGCCAGTACGTTCTCCAAGACCAGTTGCATCAAAGCTTGCTGCTGATACCCCTTTGCTTACTGGGCAGGTATTTGCCTTCATTCTAAACGCATTGGTTTTTTCATCTGTTGCTTTCTCTTTTAGTAATATGAGTTCCCAATGACTCTGTTATGTTTCAGCGTGTCCTTGATGCCCTTTTCCCCTCAGTCCTCGGTGGAACTTGTGCCATACCTGGTGCATTTGGTTGTGGGAAGACGGTCATTAGTCAAGCTCTTTCCAAGGTGAAGCTTGTCAATTCCTTGTGGAGCTTACTCTGATGGTTGTGATGATGGGGTAGTTTGGTTGATTCATTACTTATGTTTTTGCAGTACTCCAACTCTGATACTGTTGTGTATGTGGGTTGTGGAGAAAGAGGAAATGAAATGGCAGAGGTATACATTTCTCTCACTTTATTCGTCAATCCTGCTTTACAGTTTTTAAGATTTTTTTATCTAGGGTAACCAATTGCTCAGGTGCTCATGGATTTTCCACAATTGACCATGACTTTGCCTGATGGCCGTGAAGAATCTGTCATGAAGCGTACAACCCTGGTAGCGAACACCTCTAACATGCCTGTCGCTGCTCGTGAGGCATCAATTTACACAGGTAACACTATCTCTTTTACGTAAATATTAAACAGAATAGAGGATGCTATGAAGAGTAATCTCTTTTATCTTCAACCCTTGTGCTTATTCTTTCTTGTTAGCATTATGAGAGAATTCAATGCAGTTGGTTAATTAAGAGCTGATGTGTTTTGAACACATGCATCAGTGGATGTTAGTGACCGTTTGTAATTCAAGAAAAAGATGGTAATTTTTAAGATATCAGATTACCGTCACAGGTCCTTTGTCAGAGAAGCAGCAGCTCTCTTAAGAAGCACATATAATATTCCGAGAAATAAATGGTTGCAATTTGGGCAATACAATCTACACCCTACCATTACACCTGCCGGCCGCAGACTTTAGGCTATTTAGACCACGTGCAGTGGACTGAAGAAAAAAACTCAAACTTGTAATTTTATTGATTATGCTAGAAGTTTCATGTTTGTGCCTGATTTGCATGAATTTGAAAATTCTATGTATTAGATTCATTTATTGTTGGTGATGTTCTGTCTTATTGAATGCCTTGTGTTGATTTTCTTCAACTTGTGGGTGGATGTGTTGTTCTCAGGAATCACTATAGCTGAATACTTCAGAGATATGGGCTACAATGTGAGCATGATGGCAGATTCAACATCCCGTTGGGCAGAGGCATTGCGTGAAATTTCTGGACGGCTGGTTAGCCTCTACCAACATTTATCTCAATGCCTTGGAAGAGTTTTTGAATGCTTCATATGTTAGCGTCTGATTTATTGCAGTGTTAGGTGGTGCCTCTTTGTGGTCTATCTCATTTGTTGCTAACATGCTGTTTGTCTGTGTTGCCTTAACTTGCATATCATTTGCAACCTTTAATGCAAAAAATAACTATGTTTTTGTTAGCTAGATTTGTAGAAGCTGGATAAAGTTAATACTTAATGGTTGGTTCCAACCTCTTATTAGGTGCTGGCTTCCACAAGTGATTGGCAATACTGTTGATATTGGATTAAGGATATACTATTCTCATGATTGATTCTTTGTATGTTGTTATTTATTAGACAAACGAAGTAGCTGAGAAGTGAGAACTATGATCTATCATGCCATTTCTTTCATGCATATTGTGAAATTTGTTTTTATCCTACTCTGATAAACTCTAATTGCACATTTCTTAATTATGTTTGCAGGCAGAAATGCCTGCTGATAGTGGATACCCTGCTTATCTGGCAGCACGTTTGGCCTCCTTTTATGAACGTGCTGGTAAAGTAAAATGCCTTGGTTCACCAGAGCGTACGGGTAGTGTCACAATTGTTGGTGCAGTTTCCCCACCTGGAGGAGATTTCTCAGATCCTGTTACATCTGCTACCCTCAGCATTGTCCAGGTAATTACAAACTGTGTTCACCATCTTTTATACTAGAAGCAATTAGCACACCATAGATTGCTGAGTAAAACAGAGAGTTCAGTATTTTTTTTCCTTAGCATTCTTCCACGACCTAATTTTTTTTTTGAAAAGCTTGAAATAACTTGTTGCAGTAGGCAAATTTCTATTTTAGGTTGCCTGATAAACATTAAAACAAGAAACAGAAATTTCAAAATTGAAAGGAAAAAACATAGAAAGATATGCTTAATTAATGAAGGAACTTGAGCATGGCTGAATTACTGACCAACAAGCTGGAAAGCATAGCCTAGGCCCAAAAATGATTCTGCTTCAGTGATCCCGGTTAAATTTGACGTCCAAGCACATGTAATTTATACAGTCTCAAAAATGATATGTTCTATCTTGATGCCATTTTGGATTTTTTCTCCCTAGCTTTATTTATTTATTTATATTAAAATGAGGTTATTCATTTGTACTTTTGCAGGTCTTCTGGGGTTTGGACAAGAAACTTGCACAAAGGAAACATTTTCCTTCTGTAAACTGGCTTATTTCCTACTCTAAGTACTCAGGGGTAGGTTTGCAATTTTTCTACACACTTTTCCCTGTGTTTTTCTATTGAAATTATAATTATTTGGATGCTTATTGGATATTTCATTCATCGCATCCTATATTCTATGGAACCTGTTCATATTTAATTAGGTTGTCCCTCTTTTGTTGTCAGGCTTTGGAGTCATTTTATGAGCGATTTGATCCGGATTTTATCAACATCAGGACAAAGGCACGGGAAGTGCTCCAAAGAGAAGATGACTTGAATGAAATTGTCCAAGTATGTATTTTTTTTTGCCCCAAAATTTTCATCTCTTTTGGTTTTCTTAGCTCCTAGAACTATAAAATATGTGATTTACCTGGAACTGTTGAAGAAATATGTGGATGAATGCTGTGAACTATATGACAGGGGTGTTGTTTCAGTGTTACCTTTGCTGCAGAACCTTAATTTTATGAGTACTCCATGTCTTCTCTTGCCCTTCTAAATTGGTTGATTTGCAAATCTTAATTTGGCATAAAAGATGTTTGGTGGGCATCGGTCACAATTGGTGGTTATGATACTGTAGATCTCCATGGAATTATGTGGAGTTTCACTGTCATGTGACAAGTTTTTGAAGATGGAAGTTTATTTGGTTTCTTTTGTCTGCTTGAGATTGAATAACCATGACTTTCTGGATTATTGCAGCTTGTTGGAAAGGACGCTTTAGCTGAAACAGATAAGATCACCCTGGAGACTGCGAAGCTTTTGAGGGAGGACTATCTTGCTCAGAATGCATTTACTCCGTATGCCCCAACCTCATTACTTGATCTTTTTTCTATCTTTTATTTTGAGTAATTAAGATTTATGATAGTTCTGTAATCCTCACCTTTGAATGTGTGTTTATTTGGCTGGTAGATATGACAAGTTCTGTCCTTTCTACAAGTCTGTTTGGATGATGCGCAACATCATTCATTTCTGTAACTTGGCCAACCAGGTAAATTATCCCCCTCCCCTCTGGTATTCTATTGTTTACTGTAAGTATCTGCAAGTTTGCTTGCTGTGAGAGGAGTCTGGGCATTCTTCTTTTCTCTTTCGTTATACTTCAAGTTTCAGTAGTCAGTAATTGTAGGTCTGATATTAAAACTCACACACCTGCTCACAACCTGTAGTGGGTAATATGGTTTGTTCTGGATCTTTGATGAACAAGTTTGCAATTCAACATACAGGCTGTTGAGAGAGGTGCTGGCATGGATGGTCAGAAGATATCATACAGCCTTATCAAACATCGGTTGGGAGATCTCTTCTATCGTCTAGTGTAAGTATTATGTACTTCCAGCAAGAATCCTCAAGTGAAAAGCAATGCTATACAGAAATCGACTAGAATTACCTTCTGATGTTGTCATCTGTTGATGTTGCAGGTCTCAAAAGTTTGAGGATCCCGCAGAAGGGGAAGCAGTTCTCGTGGAAAAATTCAGCAAGTTGCATGAGGATTTGACTGCTGGTTTCCGTGCCTTGGAGGACGAGACTCGATGATTTAGGTGCTCCAAATTTTGGTTATCCAAGGAGTATTTGTGGCAGCATGAGACCAACAGCACTTGAACTATTGTATTTGTTTGTCTGAAGAATCAGTGTTGGTAAATTGTGCTTGTAGCCTTTTGGGTTGTGATAGCGACTGTGTAATTTGTTTATTCAAATTGTAGTTGTTCCGGGCAGTGAAAAACTAAACTGTTCCTTGTGTATTTATGCAATAAGGTTTGTATTCAGGCAGTGTCAAATTCCATGGTTTATCTTATCACAAGTTAAAGAAGCTTATCGTTCCGATGAGGAACTGTTTTTTTTTTTTTGAACTTCCGCTGCATGCTCCAACTACTCTTTCTTGACACGAAAGCTGTGTCTTGGGCATGGGAAGACTCGTGCATAAGGTTTCGACCATGATGTGTTTAGGACAGGTCAATTGTCATCTCATTGAGAGATGGTGGCACCGGTGAAAAATCTTACGAGGCACAGTTTTGCCTCCTTTGTCTTTTTTTCTTCTTTGTTGGATTCATCAAGAAAGACAAACGGGAAGGCAATAAAATTACTGGCCTCATATGCATGCCTTCTAATCACAGCCTTGTTGCACGGGATTGTGAGGCCAATACATATAAAGGACAGCTATCAACCTGAAAATTCTTCATTAACATGCAGATTGTGCAAGGCTTGTTTTACTTGAATGAGTGCTTTTAAAGCAAATGATGATGCGCCGGGAAAGTAGAAGCAGCACCAAGGAATACGATGAGCCCGGTCGATGGCACAGGCTCTTGCAAGAACCGATTACTTGAATTATGATTGCTGGTGTCCCTTAACTGGCAAGCATTAGTTTCTTAAAAAATTTTACACTTCGAAAACGAACTCCTAAAAGATCTGCAGGCTGGATAGGGTTTCCCCTGAACCCAATACCCAATCAACATGAGTTCTGTGCACCAATCAAATCCCCTCTTATGCTCGGATGACTGGAGGACTCCGTGTCCAAGTTCGGTTTTTGAGCTTTTTTTCCTTCTTCCTCCCTTTAACCCATCGTATTGATGACAAGAGTGGCCATGATAATTTGGCACGGCCAACACCTAACAGACCCAGGCAGCTTACCTAAGACTGTCAACAGCACAACCATCAAATTTCATAAACATAATGGAGTACCTTGAGAGCAATGTGAGGAAAAACTGAGTGGAGAAAGGTAAATTTAGAAATCTTGGGAAACATAAAACCACATGTTTGCCACAATTCTAAATTTTAAATTACAACGAAGAAGATGGATCTTTTAGCCAGGGCCAACTTTAGGAATGTCATAATGCTCACTCATGTTGGCCAAATACTGGTTGAAATCTTGAATCCTGTCACGGTGAGATTTATCAGCTTCTTTCGCCATCCTATGAACATCAATTCTCTCTCTCTGCTCAATGTATCGTCTCTCTGCAGGTGTGAGATGATCAATGTAAGAAGCAGCCTTTCCTTCCTCGCTCGTTTTGCCTTCATCATTAATATCTTCCTCATTAGGATCATCAGCTGGTTCTTCTACGCTTTGGCCTATACCAAATACCAACATTATTCGATGATCCTCCGAAATTAAAGTGGAGCAGTAAAGTATAACATAACACGAATTACATGAAAAGGTTATAAGGAGCAACACAACGTCTTTTTCACAGAGACTGCTCTATTATTGGGATATTTCTGCAATTCATTTAAATCAAAGATTACCAGAACCCAAAAACAAAGAAATCAAGCCAGCAATCAAGATATTTCTGTCAGTCTCCGTAGACATGATGATCACCAATGAAGTAGAAATAGTACACGAGGTTATTCAGCAACCATTGATTTCAAAGGCTTCCAATCGCCCTAAGCTTTGGTTTAATTGAGTTCTATCAAGACACACGATGACAGTGTTTCCTTCAAAAATCTGTAATAATTACTACTTGATTAAATTTTATAAACATGGATAAAGACGACGAAGAAGAACAAAACAGCAGCACGGCAGGCTTGAAAGCTCACACAGAAAGCACAACACAAGCACAACAACAAAAATTAACAGAGGAGCATTTTATAAGAAAAGGGAGTGACCACCCAGATTCAATACCAGAAAGGAAACTAATCCCAGCCTCCAACAAGAATCCAAAGACTAATAGCTTACAAACAAGAAATTAATATAGAGGGGATTTTTGAAAAAAAATGAAGAAACCCAAACCAGTAGAAAGCTCATTATGTATGACGAGATCAGAAGAATCGACTTGTTTCTTAACATGTTTCTTCTTCTTCTTCTTAAGGCTGCCAGCTTTCACATCCAAAGCTTTCCCCTTCAGCTTCAATTTCCCACCCACAACATTCTCATAACCAGACATTGATTAATCGATCGATCTTCTCCTCCTCCTCCTCCTCTGTTTCAACATTGATAAGAAGCCCAGAAAGGTATTAATTTAGGCTACAAAGATTATAGATTTAAAGCATCGAAAGAAGAGATCAGATCAGATTGATTCGTGGAAGTAAGCCCTAATAAACAAGTACCTGATAATATTAGCTTAATCCGTTCCCGTTCAGGCGATGGGAATTCTCTCTTCCGCAAACCAGCCGACAAGACGTCACTACTCCTCTGGAATGGAAGCACTCCTATAAGTAACCGACTTGTAGTTGGTGTTTACATTTGTGGGCCTTCGAATACATGGACCGACCCAGGTTTGGGTGATGGCTCTTCGCTTGTTTTCTTTATTTAGTGATTAAAAATTTGTTTGGGGCATGCTTGTAGTCATTTTTTAATTATTTTTTTGTATTAAAATATATATTAGTAATTTTTATAATTTTTAAAAAATTATTTTTGATATTAATACATCAAAATAATTTAAAAATACTAAAAATATATTAATTTGAATTAAATAAAAAATAAAACAATTTTAATTTTTTTAAAAATTCTTTTTAGAATGTAAAAATAAATAGAAAGTAAGACTTGAAGAAAAGAGAAGAGAAACTACTGATGCCATTGCCAGTTCCACCAAAGCACTCAAATCATGATATCCCCTCATGCTATAAAAATCAATTCTATTATTTGGTTAGATCGCTTAATTAACATTTGGAATTCAACTTAACAATACATTTACAATAGACATCACAACTTGCAGCTTTAATTATAATATATAGTTATCCCTTGTGTTTTTTAAATTTTTTTTATTTTTTTTAAAAATTATTTCTATATCAACATTTTTTTAAATGATATAAAATTATAAAAAAGTAAATTTAAAATAAAAAATTATAATTTTTTTAAAATATTTTAAAAACAACATGACCATATCCCTTCATTCAATCTAAGCATCGAATAGCTTCATTTTTTTCAGAATAAAATAAAATATTGTTTTAATTTTCTTTTTAAAAATAGAAAAAGTGGATGAATTTGATGTCATGTACCACTATTTAAAGATCTTTGAAAATGAAATGACGTTGTGGTCACACCGCCTTCCCAAACCAAAACCAAAAGCATCATTTTGATATCCCATTTGTTCTCCATGCACTTCAGCAGCTAGGGCCCAATGAGCTACATGCAGAAAATTCATATAACCAGTTGCCATGCTTTCTTCATGTACGGTTATATTTGCAGCGCATTAGTGTCTCATAAAGCAGGCTCATTCCCCTCTCAATTTGCTGCCCAGAAAGCTAAATTGCCCTACCAATCTTCTCCTCCGTGCTAAACTTCCAACTCCCAAACCTAATCGAAGTATAATGGTTAATGTTGGGATATTATTATTAATCAGCAACAACTTTATAGCTTATCCTAATAAATAGGATTATTATTGTTAACAGGCTATAATGATAATTGTATCATAAAATAATACAATCCATATATTGCTAATATTTGTGTTATAATTGATGGCCTCTTATCTTGTCTATAAATAAAAATATTATTTGAAAGCAAAATAAAAAAGAGAATTAGAAAGTATATGAAGAGAATAAGAGAGAAAAAAAGAAAAGCTGCAATGGTAGCAGCCTTGTTGCTATTGCAGCAATTGCAAAAACAGTAACGAGAACTAGGAATTGAGTTTGAGTAAATGTGATTTTTTCTTTTTATGTATTTGTATTGCATCTTTTCTCTATCTTTAATAATGTGAATTTCTCTTGTTAATATAGGTAGTTTGTCGAACCACGTTAAATATTGTGTTAATGTATTTAATTTTCAATGAGTAAATATCAGAATATCATTCGTTTGAAATTCCCTAACAATTAGTAATTACAATCATGTTGATTGGAAAGGGATAACATCACATCACCTTTGATGGAGCCTTTCCCCAAATCAAACACTTGCAATTAGTTCTGCGAAATTCTTGTTTTTGCCTGTCACAATCGTAAGTGATATATAAGCAGACAATGCCTGAATACAGGAGGGAGATGGTTAATAACTCGAGTGATAAAGGGCATTAGGTAAAATGATCTTCAAGACTCGCAGGACAAAAATAGGATGATTTACCTGAATTCCAAGGTTCACAGTATGGTTAACAAGGTACATGCCAGGAGAACTATAGACACATGGAAGCCATACCAAGAATCCCCAACAAAGATAAATTCCAGGGGCTGAAACCAAAAGTAGTAAGCATAAGAAGTTAAGCATGGGAAAAAAGAAAAAAGAAAAAAGAAGAGGGATTCTTGGAGAAAATGATAACCCCTTTTACAGCATCAAGGCTAGTATTTTCTTCATAGATAATCGATAGCAATCCAGTTGATGATAACTTGCAACTCAAATTAAAAGGACAATCGGAAAATGTAAGCAAGTAGAATAGATAAACCTCGATCATGAGCAATGTCCACGGCACTCATGTACCCATCTTCCCAACGAAAAAACTTTGTGATGTGCAATAGCACCAATATTGTGTGTAAAGCAAGGAACCAGCTGCTTCCCCATTCTGCTCATACTGATACAATACAGAAGAAGTGGATTTGAAGGCTCATAATCTTGCGATTGTATACAGGTAAAACTTGTAAAAAAATGCAAAAATAACATATTGCAGGGGTACTTAAATGATGAAATGATGAACACATGGCATTGGTTACATGCAGGGCTAGTTCTGCACGGGCTAAGTGATGCCTCTATCAGCCAAACAAACAAGGGTTTTTAACCTCTCACTGAATAACTTGTATCATCTTAGATTCAGTATGTTTACTAGACAAGTATTGTTAATTCTCACCTGGAAACGAATAACAGCATTTACCTGCTTAATGCAATAGGTTAATGCCAGAAGGGCACAAGCCATCAACCCAAATCTGCAGTTTGTGAAAACTTTGATGCCAAGATTTTTCCAATCCGAGGATACAGCTCCCCACCCTGAAATAGAAGAGGAGACATGTGAAAAAAGGAGAGGCAAAATGATAGTACTTCAATTATTGTTTATCAAAACCATCAGATGTCCAAAGCATTGAAAAAACTTTTCAGCTTGGTTCACAGATTTCAAAAGAAGAAGCTTAAATTTGAGTTAGATCCTGGCCCAAGGATTGGTTTTGCTGATTTAAGCTTGTTCCTCTTAGTTATATACCTGGCTCAATCTCCCTATTCCCCTATCATTTAGATTGCTTAATGACAAACAGCAATAATAATCATACGAGTAAAATGAAGGTAACATTAAACATTTTGGTAAGAGGTAGAGCAAAATAAATGAGAACGCAAACAAGTTGCCTAGTTAGAAATTTACTTTTACGTATAAGAAAAAACAGAAGTCAAAGCTTGCAAGAATGAGAGCAGAAAATATTTCGCCCAAATGATCATAGACAACTGCAGGGTTGAATATACCAAACCTAAAAAATAAACACAGGAGCAACACTAGTTACACTTTACAATCACGCGTCTCTAGGGTTAAATTGATTTTTTTTACACCAATCACAAGGAGAATGTCACCGTGTACACTGCTATGCTGGATCTAAAGTAACTTTTTACCAATCACAACCCTTCCGATGAGCGGGTGTCAAACTTGATGGAGTGCAAACATAAGAATGTCACAGAGAAAGTTCTCACCACCAAAGGCTAAGATATGCAATCAATGTCACCATGTATGCTGCAAATCACAGAAACAAAGCTCATGACTTGAGTCATGTACAAACCTTTTTTTCTTCATTTCCTTTGACGGCTGCAATCTAACTACAAAAGAAATGGCAAAAAAGGATCTTGATAAAGACAATATCATGTGAACAGCACCTTGTAAACGGTCGGTTCCCTTCGGGAGAAATAGGACCCTCAACCGTTTTTCCAGGTAAAAGAAGCTGAAGTCAGTCTCAAATGCTACAAAACACGCAATTATTTTCCATGCAGTACCAGTGGGGGCTTGGCCGGATGTTTATTAACCCCCGCTGCAACCCGTGTTGCTTCAAATAATTCGAAGTTTGGGAAACCTCCCCTTCAGCATGTACCATTGTTTATCATCTACATTATTTGGTAGAACATTCTATTTTTTATATAATTTTATTATCAGCATGGAGCTCGTCAAAATCTATTAGCACTGCAGCAGTGAATACACACAGACATCTTCAGAGGATTTTACCCTTCGTTGAAACAAACATAGTACAAAAATCATGAAAACGAAAAGGTAGAACCAAGTAAGTACTGAAAGAAAACTTGGAACATCGAAACATGCAACTAATGGTAAGTGCACAGTCCCTGCTCTTATTACATATCCCATTCAATCATCACCAGGCAATTATCAATCCAAAAGGCCCTGCCTCTCTAAATGTTGCTGAAAACCATAAGGCAATGATCCTGAGATTTCTTAGGCCGACCAATTGATTCAAGAATCACACACAAGTAACAGTAAGGGAGATGCATTACAATTTGGAAAGATGAAGTATCTGTGGCCCTTCTTTTCTTAAAAAAAAAAGTTGAAAAATATGCCGGCCAGTGGAAGAAGAGAAAACTATTTTAAGATTCGTGATGTGAAGAGGAGAAGCCTTACATTAAAATAACCAAGGGAGGGAAGAGAGCCACAAGCGAGACCATCGAAACACACGTGACCAACAGTGAATGCACAGTCTTTGCTTCTGCCATTCTCTCTCTTGCGAGTCTTTCTCAACTGAAACAGTCTTTAAGATGACGTGAGAGAGATTCACGGGTCCCGTACTTTATTTGGATTTTGGAAAGCGACTTTTTTTTTTTAAGGTATGAATCATGTATTAGCTCAATATAATAGCAATCTTTCAAACTCTCGTCCCAGAGAAGAAAGAAATTGCCAAATGATTTGAGATATTGATTATTTAACGTCTCCAAACCAAGGCATAGTCATGTCATAGTGGTGATATTTCAACCACTTTCAAAGAATCGATGGCTACCTACCCAATCATTTTAATCACTTAAGAAAAGAAATATTATCACCATACTAGTTTCCAAGGATCCTAAACCTAAAGCATATTAGAAGTTAAGAGGTCCCCTCAGAATGCGATCCTCTATTTTTAACTCCCAGAAAGTGGAGCAATGGAAAATGGGAACTGAAAATACATTGTACTTGACCAGCAAAATTTACATCCTGTCCAAACATCAAAGCACCTGAAAAGCACTTAACAAGAGTTATACAATTCAAGGGATGCTAATAAGCACATTGCATTCTCGAGTTCACCAGCAGATATAAACAGGCAAACCAGTCCATTCAT